AAAAAAAAAAAAAAAATACACAAATAAATTTATGAATTATTCAATATAATGAATAATATATCTTTCTTATTATCTAACTTAAATGTTAATATATTTCATGATACTGCAATATATATTGTTTTGTTAATAATTTGAGAAGAAGTATACATAATTAGACACGTAGATATATTTATTCCTTTTATAAATATTTTTTTTTTTAAGAATGTTTAAAGTAAATTTATTAGAAGCAAATAATTTAAAAAAAATAAGAAATTAAAAAAAAATTTAATTAAAGAACAATAGGTGATAACTTACATAGTATCTCGAGAGTACCGATCCCGAGAAGAAAACCAAGATGACAAGGATCAGTCGCATAGCTCCAATTTACTTCGGGGCCTTTTGTTGCGAGCTTCTATTTGACGGTAGTCCTAGTAAATTCATTCGTCAACTCCCACCGAATATGTAGTATCTCTCTTTCCTGTTTCTTCTTCTTCGGCTTACTTATGCTCGATCTCGCAAAGAGATCAAGAAACACAAGGATTTGGATTAAAGCGAAGGAGGGGGAACAGTTTGATAGGGGAAATTCTAAGAAACATGGATATATAAATCGTGATATGGAATATGTCTGCAGTCTTATAAGCATTACGTTATCTTGTGTCGTCTTATGATGTCCGGATCTTCTTACCGGCATGTTTTTAGAAGGATTTTTATGTCTTTATAATAACAATATATATGATTGGATAACGTTTAGATCGTAAGAAGAAATATCTAGAATAAAAGATAAACAAAAATTTAGACAATTTCACCTAATTTGTATTTGTTAAAAACCTATTTACTCGAAAATTTATTTCATCAATTGTTATCAATTAGTTGCTGCAAATTTTCATTAAAAAAATTATTTATATTGTTATAAAAGGATATGACAATTATTACAATAGTATATGCATTATTTCTTTTATTTTTAATATTTTTGATTTATTTGTTAATGTCAGCTCAAGATAATACCCTCTTTTTGCCATTATTTTCCTATTATCGCACGTAGCGATTTAGATGTTACTCCTATTTATGCAATATTACTCTTAGATAGGAATAATCTATTTTACCATACCATTTCATTTCTTCACTTTCCAAGACGCAAATATCTTTTTAATCGTACACGATATCGCCTAAAGTCAGTTTATGTTACCATCATCGACTGACTAAGATAGATGTGTTCCCCTTCATTGCCCTAATTATAAATTTCAATCTATTTAGTAAATACAGCAAGTCGTTGTTGCTTTGCTTCGAACCGTTATTAAACTATCGCACAGTTCATCAGTAATAGAAAAAGTTAAATGAGTAAAGAAAAGAAAGTAAATTTGAACGGAGTGCTAATGTAAATTACTCGTACGCTGCAATTATATTAATACGCGTTATACAGCTGTCCAACTTGCAAGCTGTGTGAAACAATACTTTATTATAAATATCTTCTTTGAAAATGTCCCTTAAAAAATTTCATTTTTCTTTTCTTCCGTTACAAAGGGAGAAAAAAAACTGTGAATAGAAAAGAAAAATTAATAAGTTAAAATGTGAGCAAACTAGAAAAGGTTGTTGTAAAAATATTATAAATAGACTTACAGGTATATGTAGCTGTGCATATATTTTTTTCATTTTAATAAACAAAACTTGCACAATTCGTAAAAAAGTTGGTAAAATGTTTGCTTAGGCACTCCAATGTACAAATAGTACATTATATATATATATATATATATATACACGTAAAACAATAATACATTACAACTGCGTTAATTATTGTGATAATGTAAATATTAACATATAATGTAAGGAATGCTATTTACAATATGTGATTTACAATATGTATTTTATATGATTATATAACGTAATATGTATTACATTTTGGGATGTAATTTAATGTTCTACGTTTGATCATACTAAATCGATGACTAGGATGCACATATTTTTTGATTACTACAAACACATGTTCAGTTACTACAAACATATGAATTTACTATGAAAAAATGGATAAAACTACGTGAAATCTTTATTATAAAACCGCCGCTATTCAATTTTTTGTGCAACCATTGCTTTGTAAATTTCTGTTTTAGATTAGAGAAGGAATTTTGTTTCTATTAAATCATCATCAAACTAATTATACAGAAAAATTGATAAATGGTTAATGAGAGATACGTGTGAACTATTTTATAATGTATTAAGAAGAATTCAATGGATTGCACTTAGAATAACAAAGCGGATTAGACTAGTTTACACTCACATCGTTACCGACGATCGATAACGTACCGAAAACGAAGAAAAATTCTTAATTACATATTACGGCACCAGAGAGCTATGAGATTGCATATGGCCGCTAGTTCCGTACGAAAACTCGAATCACAGACGATACGCGTTCGTATTTAAAAACGCGATTAATGTGAAGGAAAATTTACATTTTTACGAAAATCTTAATCACTATTTAGTACCTTTTCCACTTACTTTATACACTTCAAATATAATTTAAATTTGATTATTGTCATTAAACATGTGGTTCAACATGAATGCAACATGATATAAATTTTAAACAAGGCACTGTAAAGTTACAAATTCTCAAAAAAACGTGACCTCTTATACAGAAATTAGTCGGAATAAAAATAATTCTATCATTTTTCTTTTTATTTATTTTTTTAGTATTTCATAATTATATGAATGTCTATAATTCGATTGATATTCATTAGCAATCTACACTTTAATGTACTGTTAGTTTCAAATCTCGAGAAATTTTTAGCTGCCTAGAGAAGAGCATGGAAAATTTAGAAGAGCATCGATGTAATTAATACTAAGATAAGTATCTATATAGGCACTGCAATTCACTTTAAATCAATAAATTATTTTTGTTTTTCTTAATACAACGCTCGATATGTCTTTAGAAAATTGTAACTACGTATTAATAGTATTTAAGGCACAACACTCGGAATTGATAATTCACAATTTTATCGTTAATATGACTATGCGCTAGATGGTCCCTAATTAGGAAGGTGCATGGAATAATATTTGTGACGTAAGTAATCTCTATAATATTTCTTATGTTCGTTGAACTTGTCCCAAAATTGATTATATATATATATATATAATGTATATAC